ATATATATATATATATATATATATATCTTAATAGTTTTTTATTATAAAAAAAATTAGTAGACTCACAATATAACATGTATTACCTATTCAGTACCACACCCACCCACCCACCACCCACTAATATAAGCAATATGGACCCCCACAGCTAGGCATAGAATTCCGATGAAGCTTAAATTTGATCTTTTTCACCTTTTCGAGCTTTCTGAAAATGAGGTCCAAATCTGACTTGCAGCCACATGGCTAGAAGGCATGGTGTTGATTGCATTGGGCTTAGCATGAGCATATATGTAAAAGCAAACTGTAACAAAAATTTGATGGAATTTTTATTTCTATCCAAATAATTCTCCAATCAAATTCATTTTCTTATTATATATATAAATGAAATTTTCCAATCAATTTTCTTATATTATAACTAATTTTATTTTCTAATCCGATCAGAGATACTGTTCATAGAAATTTTTCTAACCAAATAAGAGATAGAACATCCATATAAACTCATTACAAAAAAAAAATATTATTAAAAACTATGACACTTCTTCAATATAAACGGTTTGATGAAGGTGAAAATATAACAAGATAGCATCCAACACAGAATAATAAAAAAAATAGAATTAGAGTTAAAATACAAAAAATCCTAAAATTTTATTTTATTTCTTAAATATCAATTTGACTAAATTTGCCTTCTCCTTTTCAAGTTAGAAAAACCAACCTATACTGGGAAACAAATTCAGAATTCTAACACATAAGGAAATTAATACAAATATAAAAATATATAATAAATCCAAAATATCTAGAAAAAATAACAAAATTAACTAAAATAGCAGCATCTAGGCCTAAATATCTCAATTAATTATGGTGCGGCACATCCATGCCTTTCTTTGAATTTAGACATAATTCATCGATCCATTCAAAAACAATTAGGTTATCTACATAATAATGTTTTTGAAAAAAATATTAATATATTTGTCTAGAACTCCAAATATTTACAAACCCGGATACAACAAGGTCTTTATATTCTATGAAAAATCATTATGGGAAACTTATCTGCACATATCTCTTTATAATCAACTTTTACTCGCATGCTAGCAATAAGATTTTAAAATAAACTATAATAACTATAAAATATATTTATATTACAAGTTTTTTTGACAAATAACAATCAAATAAGTACGTACATTAAAAAATAAATATACTAAAAAAATAAAATTCATATTTAAATATTAAAACTAAAAAAGATAGACTCACCAACAAAAAATAATAAAATCTATAAGAACGGATGTTATGATCACGTACAAAAATATAAGAAACTTGAATGTTTATGTTAAGAAAAGGAGAAGAGTTGGGATGAATAGTTGGTTGTAGTTTAGGAGGGGAGAGGTGGGATGAAAAAGAAGAAGAAGGAGAAATAGAGGAAGAGA